GATATAGATATTTATGCATATACAACTGATTCTGATTCAGATGCAGATAGATAATCCTATGGAGAAAGCATTTAGAACGTGAGAGAAACCTTATATCTAACTCATCCGAAGTATACATTACCAAAGCATACAATGGTATGAAAATACCACCAAAAGCATAGAAAAATCAAGTATACAGTGATATAAAATATATCACCAAAGCATACATTGATATGAAAATTCTCATATCATCATTTGAAATATTAAAAACAAACAAATATCATCAATCATTCAGGTACCCAAGAGACGCAAATATTTAATCAGCATATATATTGAAATGGAAGCAATCATGAAGCAAATCAAACACCAGTTCAAACAAAAAGAGGAGCAAGAAGCATCATTAATCAGACAACTTGAAGTAGTCAGACGTGAAAAAGAACAACTACAACAAACATTACAAATTTTATCATCCCATTCGGTACCTAAAGAAAAAACAGCTAGTAGTTCAACAACGAAGCAACCAAAGGAAGAAATTCAAGAAATATCATCCGATGATAGTCAGCCACAAATAATACTCAAAACAGAAAAACAACCTATGACGCCAAACCAGGAAGAATATCCACCACTTCAAGCCGATCATAAAAACATAAAGAAATGGTATGTGATTTTCAATGGAGAAAACAAAGGAATCTACGACGATTGGGGAATTGCCAATTCATATATTCTTGGAAAAAACGTCATTCACAAAAGTTACAAAATAAAAAATGAAGCAGAAGCCGCATACAACGAAGCATACAAAGCAGTCATAAACAATAATGTCGAATGTTCGAAAACAGTTCTCCTTACACCACAAAAACCCATATCCAGCTTTACCCCACAAAAACTTGTATCCATCCCAAAATCCCTTAACTAACTAAACGCAAAAATTGCCCTTGAAGCCATTCCATCAACTAAAGAAAAAGAAGCTATGAAAAAACCATCTGCTCAAAAATTTGCCAGATTATGGGACAGCCTCATTAAATACACCGAAGTCCATTCTTTAATGGGCTTTTACCCAGTAGCCAGGCGACCAAGCCCAAAAGCAGTATTCCTAGCAGATCTCACTGACCCCATGACTTTATGGGACTATTTCAGCCATGGATTCATAGACACTATCTATCTTGATGGAACAAATTTACATTGCATCAGCGAATTCCCATCAGCTGTTCAAACAGTAATCAGAAGCTAACACGATTTGCAAAACAAGAAAGAGGGTTATTTATCAAGATGCATTCAAGTTACCCAATTTTTGATGAAAATTCTCAATTACTTGTTCCAAGCATTACTTTCGCAAATATGAGGATAAGCAACGGCTCAAAACCAACAAGAGATGACCTACCCCATGAAATACCTACACAAGACCATTTGATTTTCGCACTTGCCGGTGTCTATTTAGCATCATCTCGCGTAGGCAATGGTAAAGATCAAAAGTCAAGAATCATAGTAAATTATGCCAGTAAAACCTTCGTTATCTATTCTCTAATAGACAGTGAAATAACCCCGGAAGCATTAAAAGCAATTGAAACTTTCGAACAGCCGTTCGAAAAATTTTCACATCATTTAGCTGAATTACCCGCTGATTTAAAAAAAACAGCTTTGTAAACATATCATGGATGCACCACGACATAATTGCAGCCATTATAAAGACAATATGGAAGAAACACCGTTCATGGAAGACTAACGTCAGCAATGAACAAAGCACACATCATTCAGAAATATCTGTCCTTTCGGTGGCGAGAGGAATGACGGAATGACGAAAGCAATGACATATTAAAAACATTATTAAAGACACACGTCCTTTCATTGTGGAAGGAATTGTAATTATTTGTCATTTGTTTTTTATAATTATTGTCAATGTAATATAAAGTAGTGTAAGTGTCGGTAGAATAAAGTATAAGACCCTCAATAGTCTAGGGGGCTATATTGTAAATATATATGTCGTATTGCAATCAAACGATTACAACTCAATTATGTAATCGGCTCTCTTGAGCCTATAAATAGGACCTTTGACCATATGAAATAAACAAGTTAAGTTTGAGTGTCTAAGACCTGAGTTGATCTCAAAATTTTTCAACAGTAATAAACAAGTTAAGTTTGAATGTCTAAGACTTGAGTTGATCTCAAAATTCTTCCTCCGTTGAAATTTGTTTTATTTCTGAATAGTAAAGCCCTATAAACATCCCAAGATTAAACAATCCATCATCCTCGTCATCCTGTATAATCTTATCCTAATGTCTTTATTAATTGCGTGTCCTTAATTTTTGCGTTCATCGGCTTCTTCTTCTCCGCATCTGCCGCCGCCATGACGTACTCTGAGGCTTATTCTTCTTCACCGTTTTGCTTATTCCTCAACCGCCTCATCACCGCAATCTCCGGTGACACCGCCTCTACCACAGCCTCCGTCGGTTGGTTGGTACTTACATATATATGGTTTCCGGATTCCTTTCGTGGAAAACATGTATCGGAGGATCACTTGTAGAGAGAAACCGGAAGAAATTGGAATGTTTGTCGCTGATAGTAAGTTAAAGATCGAAAGAAGCGGTGTATTACAGATTTCTGATTCTTTAACTACTTATAGCATCAACACGTTTCAGGTCAGTGAGGTTCTCCTTTTGCTTTGAATTTTTCATACGCTATGAGTACATCCCTAAACGGGATGACGTTTATCCTTGAAAACACAATTTCGTAATTGTATTTGGCGAAAAGCTTCCTATTCCTCAGATTGTAAACATTGGAGGTCAGTCTGATGGAAAGAGCTCGCTTCTCGAAGCACTTCTGGGATTCCGATTTAACGTTCATTAACGAATCAGTAGAGTGTCACTACCTTCCTTAAGTCCTTTTCCTTTCTATCAGGTTCCTTTGCTACATGTTTTCACTTATACAATTTCATGTCGTATCTTTCTTCATTTGTTCTTTTGTAATGTTATCAGGAAATGTTTTCTCTTACAAACTGCTTCTCTAAATAACCTTACAACCGCTTGCAGGATGTTTATGAATGGGAAATTCTTTCCTTGAATTTCAGCTTACCAATTGAGAACACAGACAATTCTACTGAGGATTTATAAAGCTACTATTTTCTTGCTTTAGGGGGAAATGATAAAATGATACATCTTTCTGATGTAAACAGGTTTGACTTGTGGCAGTAAGTTTTTCATGGATTTTCTTTCATATTTCTATATCCCAACTGTTGGATTAATACCTATAAGACTTCACTATATGTTTATCACAGGTATGTTTTGATTTTTGAAGGATTTTCAAGACAAAGTGATAGGGAGTAGGTTGAAGCCCAAGTTGAGGCTGATTTCAAGTCAGCAACCGTGTTGATTTTAATATGTAGGAGCAATGATGGCTTGCAATTATACAGCAGGATACAGCTACTTGATTTTCATCTTTTTGTGATTGCAATTTATCGTTATATTAAAGGTTAATAGTGTGTGCTCATCATGTGTTTGATGAAATGTGTCAAAGAATGTTGGATGTATATTGTGTTGTTTTTTTTGAATTTTTTTGGTTAATTGATGTCCGGTTATGAATTCTAATGTAATCACCAGGTTGAAGTGGTTAGTAAGGTGATAGAGGTAGAGGTTGGTATTTTATGGATATTGCAAGGTATGTGACGTTCCCATCTTTGGTTAGTATTTTTTAAACCTTTTTTCTGAGTCAAGATTACTAACTGAGGGTATTATTGTAATATGTGATGCCCTATTTTAAATATTAATTAATTGTGTATGTATATACATACAGTTATTAGTCATGAGAATCAGAAGCATGCATTACGTTCATGTAAACAATAACGTTAGATGGCGAAGATGGTTATGGACTTGTCCAAGATTGGGATGCTCTGAAATTTTGTTCATTCATGCCTCATGATTTTTTGAATATGCTAACAACAAAAGAAAAAAAAATTCCGACACGGGTAAATGGAATCAATATACACAATCTGGTTTGATATATTTTTCCTCATTTTCTTAAAAAGATCAGCTGCCTTATTAGTTTTAGGCCTGAAATGATGTTTTTTGGTTCCATGTTAAATTTCTTTCCTCTTAGTCTCCTCTTTGTCGCTCACACTAATGTTAAATTTCTAATTTTGTTTATTAGTTATTTGTTTTTTGTGGCTTTCAGTATGGCATGAAGAGTTTCGTATAAAGAGTTATGCAAATGAAGGCTTCAAGGTTTGAAATCAGCAAACACTAAGATTTATACAGGTCTGTTTTTTTATTTTACTATTGTTTTTGTTTTTATTTTGTTT